AGAATCCCTGAGCAGGTTTCACATTTTCAAAAGAAAAACCAGTTGGGACTCTTGAGAAGGTTTCGCATTATAAAAAATAAACACTTGGTGTCCCTGAGAAGGTTTCATCTTCTGTAAAAAAAAAGACAGATGGAACCCGAGAGATGGTTTCAACTTCTTAAAAAAAAGACACGTTAGGACCCTTGAGAAGGTTTTACATTTTTAAAAATAAACACTTGGGGCTCCTGAGAACATTTTACCTTCTGTAAAAAAAAGACAGCTGGGACCCTCGAAATGGTTTCTCTTTTTTAAAAAGACACCTTAGGACCTTTGAGAAGGTTTTATATTTATTAAAAAAAAAAAACAGTTGGGGCCCCGAGAAGGTTGCATATTAAAAAAAAATCACTTGGGACTCCCGAGAAGGTTTTACCTTGTTAAAAAAAAGACAGTTAGAATCGCTGAGAAGGTTTCACATTCTCAAAAAGAAACTAGTTGGGACTCTTGAGAAGGTTTCACATAATTAAAAATAAACACTTGGTACCCCTGAGAAGGTTTCATCTCCTGTAAAAAAAAAGACACGTTAGGACCCTTGAGAATGTTTTACATTTTTAAAAATAAACACTTGGTGCCCCTGAGAACGTTTTACCTTCTATAAAAAAAAAGACGGCTGAGACCCTCGAAATGGTTTCTCCTTTTTAAAAAAAGATACTTTAGGACCTTTGAGAAAGTTTTATATTTATTAAAAAAAAAACAGTTGGGGCCCCGAGAAGATTCCATATTAAAAAAAAAAATCAATTGGTGCTCTCGAGAAGGTTTTACCTTGTTAAAAAAAAAACAGTTAGAATCCCTGAGCAGGTTTCACATTTTCAAAAGAAAACCAGTTGGGACTCTTGAGAAGGTTTCGCATTATTAAAAATAAACACTGGATGTCCCTGAGAAGGCTTCATCTTCTGTAAAAAAAAGACAAATGGGACCCTCGAGATGGTTTCAACTTCTTAAAAAAAAGACACGTTAGGACCCTTGAGAAGGTTTTATATTTATTAAAAAAAAAAACAGTTGGGACCCCGGGAAGGTTCCATTTTAAAAAAAATCACTTGGGGCTCCCGAGAAGGTTTTCCCTTGTTAAAAAAAACAGTTAGAATCCCTGAGCAGGTTGCACATTTTCAAAAGAAAAACCAGTTGGGACTCTTGAGAAGGTTTCGCATTATTAAAAATAAACACTTGGTGGCGCTCAGAAGGTTTCATCTCCTGCAAAAAAAAGACAGATGGAACCCGAGAGATGGTTTCAACTTCTTAAAAAAAAGACACGTTAGGACCCTTGAGAAGGTGTTACATTTTTAAAAATAAACACTTGGTGCCCCTGAGAACGTTTTACCTTCTGTAAAAAAAGACAGCTGGGACCCTCGAAATGGTTTCTCCTTCTTAAAAAAAGACACTTTAGGACCATTGAGAAGGTTTTATATTTATTAAAAAAAAAAAACAGTTGGGGCCCTGAGAAGATTCCATATTAAAAAAAAAATCACTTGGGGTTCCCGAGAAGGTTTTACCTTGTTAATAAAAAGTAAATTAGAATCCCTGAGAAGGTTTCACATTCTCAAAAAAAAAACCAGTTGGGACTCTTGAGAAGGTTTCGCATGATTAAAAATAAACACTTTGTGCCCCTGAGCAGGTTTCATCTTCTGTAAAAAAAGACAGATGGGACTCTCGAGATGTTTTCAACTTCTTAAAAAAAAAGACACTTTAGGACCTTTGAGAAGGTTTTATATTTTTGAAAATAAAGACTTGGTGCCCCGAGAAGGTTTCATCTTCTTCAAAAACCAGTTGGGGCACCCGAGAATTTTTCAGTTGCTTAAAAAAAATAGTTGGGATCCCGAGGTTTCACATTTATTAAAAAAACAACAGTTGGGGCCCTCGACAAGGTTTCAACTTCTTAAAAAAAGACAGTTGGGGCCTCCGAGAAGGTTTCAACTTAAAAAAAAGGTAGTTAGGACTCTTGAGAACGTTTAACCTTCGAAAAACAACCCAGTTGGGGCCCCCGAGAAGGATTCAACTTCTTAAAAAAAGACAGTTGGACCATCCAAAAAGTTTTCGCATTCTAAAAAAAGGAAAAAAAAAAATAAGAGAGAAGATTTTACCTTGTTAAAAAAAAGACAGGGAGAATCCCTGAGAAGGTTTCACATTCTCAAAAAAAAAAAAAACAGTTGGAACTCTTGAGAAGGTTTCGCATTATTAACAATAAATACTTGGTGTCTCTGAGAAGGTTTCATCTTCTGTAAAAAAAAGACAGATGGGACCCTCGAGATGGTTTCAACTTGTTAAAAAAAAGACACTTTAGGACCCTTGAGAAGGTTTTACATTTTTAAAAATAAACACTTGATGCCCCTGAGAACGTTTTACTTTCTGTAAAAAAAACACAGCTGGGACCCTCGAAATGGTTTCTACTTCTTAAAAAAAAGACACTTTAGGACCTTTGAGAAGGTTTTATGTTTATTAAAAAAAAAAAAACAGTTGGGGCCCGGAGAAGGTTCCATATTAAAAAAAATCACTTGGGGCTCCCGAGAAAGTTTTTCCTTGTTAAAAAAAAGACAGTTAGAATCCCTGAGAAGGTTTCACATTCTCAAAAAAAAATCAGTTGGGACTCTTGAGAAGGTTTCGCATTATTAAAAATAAACACTTGGTGACCCGAGAAGGTTTCATCTTCTGTAAAAAAAAGACAGATAGGACCCTCGAGATGGTTTCAACTTCTAAAAAAAAAAGACACTTTAGGACCTTTGAGAAGGTTTTATATTTTTGAAAATAAAGACTTGGTGCCCCGAGAAGGTTTCATCTTCTTCAAAAACCAGTTGGGGCCCCCGAGAATTTTTCAGTTTCTTAAAAAAAAAAATAGTTGGGATCCCGAGGTTTCACATTTATTAAAAAAACAACAGTTGGGACCCTGAGAAGATTTCATAATAAAAAAAAATCACTTGTGACTCCCGAGAAGCTTTTACCATGTTAAGAAAAAGACAGTCAGAATCCCTGAGAAGGTTTCACATTCTCAAAAAAAAAAAACAGTTGTGACTCTTGAGAAGGTTTCGCATTATTAAAAATAAACACTTGGTGCCCCTGAGAAGATTTCATTTTCTGTAAAAAAAGACAGATGGGACTCTCGAGATGATTTCAACTTCTTAAAGAAAAGACACGTTAAGGCCCTTGAGAAGGTTTCACATTTTTAAAAATAAACACTTACTGCTCCTGAGAACGTTTAAGCTTCTGTAAAAAAAGACAGCTGGGACCCTCGAAATGGTTTCTCCTTCTTAAAAAAAGACACTTTAGGACCTTTGAGAAGGTTTTATATTTATTAAAAAAAAACAGTTGGGGCCCCCGAGAAGGTTTCAGATTTAAAAAAAAAAATGCAAAATTATTTCGACAGACATTCCGTCTAGTCCGAAAAATCCCGCTTTTTTAAAATAATATAAAGTTTCATTTTGGGATTTTCGTTTTGTGATGATTTTTATAAACTAAAAACTAGTGGCTTAATTAAAATATCGCGGTACGCATAAGTGTGTATAGTATGAAATATATTTAAAGCAGCAATTTTTCAGTACATGCTTAACTTCGACTGTTTATGTTTATACTTCGAAAAAATTCGACTATTAGCACAAGTATCACAGGTTAAAAGGAAACAAAACTCGATAAACCACAGGAAGTAAAAATGAGATGGTGCAGTATCATTTTAACCCCGAGTTAGATAATGATACGTTACGCTACAAGTGGCACAAGAGCATCATTATTCTCCGAGTGTCCACCGAGGCATTAGTCGAGTTGTATGCGCATCCGTGTGTGATAATGATAATCCATTAACCCACGTATAACGTACATTTTTATCTTACCGTAAATAAATAAAAAAAATTTTCATTCGCTTTAAAAAATGAGTTATTCATTATTATCTAACCAGCGCGTGGGAGTTTTATCACTGCAGATAAACAATGAACTGAAAAATAAGCTCGAGCTTTGTTCATAAATTTGTTGTTAAAATAAACTGCGTCCTACTAGAAACGTAAAACCCTGCTATCTGGTATAAACTTTGCTACTCTTCGACTTGAAACATCCGGGAATCTGAACCATACAGACCCGCATCCCTGAACTACAACTCGCCTGAAACTAGGGTCTGAAAAGGGAAGTTTGAGGGTGACGTTCCCGCTTTCCCCATGACACCACAAAAAGGGTAAGCCGAGTGCTTTTAGCTGAGTTTCTCCCTCAGCACTGCAGCCGTGGAGGATAGAGATAGAAACAGATCCTCGATAGCATGGCTCGAGGGAGCGGCCACCACTATCCTGCAGTGTAAAAGCTCTCCTGCCTGCTGGTAAAAATACACACCATATGTTCTGCTTGAAATATCGTGCTCTTAGGTCGGGTGTAAAAACCTTAGTTCCGAGAATTACTACTCTGCTGGCTTATTTAAAGCGATGACGTGGCAGTATGTAGTTGGAAGAAGTGACGCAGTGACTTGCCAGTCCGGATGGTTGAGGTGGGACGGTTTTATAAAAACGCCGCATTACTTTTCTACGAAGAGAATGTAGAGATTGGGATCGAGTTCCGGCTTTCCTCTTTAAACTCGCTTTCTTGGAAAATAGTTGATTGGGAAAGTTTCGTGCCAAGCCGGTGAAGAGATCAGCCGTTTTGGGGCGGGCTGTGGGAATTATGATTAGTTTTGTGTCGACATTTTTTAGTGTATAATAGCGTAATAGGTCGTGCATTTTATTTTTAAAATAATTATGTTGGTATTACAGCTATTTATCCCTGTATTTGACAGTTATTTTAAAAATAAATTCCAGGGCCTACTAGAGGAGTTTTTTATTCGATCATGTGATATAAATGACTAACAAGAATTTCTATTTCTATTAATTTAAGCGACCAACTAAAATTCTACATTTTCTTAAAAAATATATATTCGAATTTGACTGGTGACAGTTCTGGGTCATATAGGTTATCTCCGTCACGTGACTTCCCGTCAGTATTGACAAAGTAAATTTATTTGAATGGTCTGCTCGTCGTGCAAAACCCCCAAAATTCAACATTAAAACCACCCCCGCCTACTTTTCGACCCAGACGTCGCCAGCATCAAAATTCACCTTAAACCCCCGCCCCCAAGCAAAAATCCCGTGAAACCCAGGACGGCGTTTACCCCGTGACGCTCAATGTGAGAAAATAAATACATATTCCCGTCCAACGCACAAGCTCCCTTTCGAAATAAACCCCCGACATAATAAACCCACCACCGATCGATAGTCCCGCCACCAGAGACCACAGCACCGGCCCCCGGCGTCCCCAACCCTCGGGCCTGAAGGGATTCGAATCCGGCAAAGTCGGTGTTGACGAAAAATCAAAAAGTATTTTTCCTTGACAACTTTCACATGTTGACATGAACGTGAGGGAACGTCTGAAGGAGGCATATGAGAACGTATCATTCAGCGCTGACCGCACCTGGAGCAACGCCCCCAATGCGTACCAAAAGAACAACATGGTAAGACCGTGCAGGGGCGTTTCCAGGAATAACCGTCAAATTGACAGGAGTTGTACTTAACAGAACACCACGTACAGATCAACAAGTTGCAGAGGAACAGACCGAGGACTGTGCGGGAGGCCATCCCCAAGAGCCGGCTGGCGCAGTACGCGAACTACGTGTACAACGAGTCGAGGGAGATGTCGTACGCTTCGAGTACCACCAACTCGGAGCCGAACTTGTCGATACGGGTGCCCACGGAGCCCTGGGAGATGCCCGAAGTCGGAGAACTGTACAGGTGGTTCTTGAGTAAGTCCACCTGGGGGCCCGATCCTACCTAAACCCTTGTACCTTGTTGGTTATAGAAAATCAGCCTGAAGATAGCTTTTCCAGGCTGGAAGGGAAGTACGAGTCGCCCCTGCTCAGTGTTAGCGGCTTCGAAGACAAGATTCTCAAGATACAAATCACTGAAGGTTTCTCCGTCGAGTAGCTAGAACGAAAATAATCTTGTTTTTTCAGACAGAGTCAAAAATATTTGGAAGAAGAGCTACCAGTACGAAGAGTTCCAAACCAAAAGTGCCACGGTTCTAGTCAAAGCGTTCACTTCTCCTTTGAAAAATGTGTTTCTTTTCAAGAATGAAGACAGCAACCACGAGTGGTTTCGGGATATCTCTATATCGAGAGACTTCGACCAAGTGGAGGTTCGTCCCTAGGTACTAAGTCTACTATGTTAATAGTACTTTGATTTTGATTGCAGCAACTGTGCCGGAGTTTCAAAGACCAAACCACTTCCATCTCCAAGTTCTTGATGGGGGACACCGACCCGTCCCCCTCTGAACCCACTTCCACGGAAGTCCTCTACTCAGAGGTTCTTCAAGGGCTCTCCCCTAGTCGAAAATTTCTATCGTCGCTTAAACCCGACCCCGGCAAGTCCCTCTCCACCGACGAAACCTCCTCCATCAGTCAAGATAGCTTCACCAACTACACCATTTTAAACAGCCACAAGCTCGACGAGCCCAAACCCGACGCTTTTCCCCAAAGTACTCTCCCCAAAGTGTCCCAGTTCACTCCAGTGCCCCCATCCGCCACCAAATTCGTACCCCAGAAAGTTTTCTTCCAAACGGACACTCGCTACAAGTACCCCATGCCGCCTCCGGTGGACCCGAATCAGCGCAATCCGAGGAGCATGGTGCACTCGTCGTACGTACAACAGTACTTTTACTCGCCGGTGCAGACCGTGCAGAGGTGGATTCCGTCGAATTTTAGCTCGTACTACCCCACGCAGATTTTCACTTCTAATTGGTTCGCGCAGAATCCGGTAGTGAATAGGATTTTCGGACCACTCGTGAGTGCGGACAGGGAGGGTAATGTTTTTAGTCGGGTTTTGGAGGAGGGGCACTTTAAGGAGGAGAGCATGGAGGTCGATCCTTTCGTCGAGGAGCACCAAGTGTCGACGAGTATTTCCGAGGAGTTGGAAATACAAGCGCTGGAGCAGTACAGTAACTCCAACGAGAATTTCTATCAGGAGCTGGAAAGACAAGCAGCTGAACAGTATGCGAGTTCTCCTGAATAAATTTTAAACTTAATTTTTAAGTAATAAATCAAAATTTAACGACGGGGGTGGTTTTTGGATAAACACTTCGGTGCTAATCTCTCCAGGTATTTTTGGTTACAATCTTTATCTTTATCCGAGGTGTGGTTAACATATCGTCCACATTCTTTGAAAATTGTCAAGTTTTTCTTGGAAGTTGAAAAAATTGACCGTTGAATTGAAAAGGTTGTTTTTAGATTTACATCGAATGAAGTCATCGTCTGACAAAACAATTAGTTCTTCATTTATTTAATGACTTCTTGATAAACTTATTAAATACCTTGGTTAACCACGTGGAAGTAGGCGGATTAATTGCGACAACAACTGGATTAATAGACGTTAAACTTGCTCAAGGCTTTCTTAAAACTTTTGAATTATTTATGGGTTTTTGCGTTCTTCGTAAATACAGTACGAATATGGAACTTAGTTACTTCACTCATTTATTTTTGAGACAACAAAGAACAAATTGTTCATTAAAATTTCTCATCCCACGATTATATATAATTTGTCAAAATTAATACCCCACAAACGCTCTCGAGGGACTACTTCGTATTTTATGTCCGTGAAACGTGAAAAAACCCGCCAGAATCGGTTACATATTTATACCTGAACTAGCCTTTCGCTTGCGGCTTCGTCCACTTCAAACACTTTCAAGCCAACCTTTTGAATGCTGAGTTTTTAAGAATTCCACCCTTTTCATCCCTTAGGGAAAGAATTAAGAACAATCCAACAATACTTTGAAAGTATTTTATACTTAACTTTTATAAGTGTAACCGAGTTGATAAGTCAGTGAACGTGAGGGTTTGTGAAAATCATGGTAAAAATACGTTTCATCGCTTCCAGTGAGAGGAATTATTTTTTGTAACTGTGCAACCCAAAGTACCAATCCAGAGCAGGTACCGACCCAAGAGAGGAGAGATTATGGTCACTGTAGGGAGTGCGTCATAAAATTTTCGATTTTCTATCTTTTTTTTTAATTTTCGATTTTCCAGTTTTTCGATGTTTCGATTTTTCAATTTTAATTTTTTTGATTTTTTCATGTTTGGATTATTTATTATTGCTAAAAGTGAAAATAAAAAATAACTACCAAAATTGTGACTGATAATATGCAAAAATTAATAAAAAAAAAGAACATAATGCTGCTAAAACATAAAAATAACTGTACTTTCCAAAAAAAATCTATTGAATGTTTACGGTACCACTAGTATTGCTAATTTAGGACGTTTTGTTAGTATCAAACACAATTAAAGAATTAATTCGTAGTTAAACAAAAAAGTTGCATGTCAAAATCGACTGAAACATTACAGAATTTAAAAATTGCGTAATTCAAAGAGACGATAAATTTTGGGCATATAATTTTTGAATTTTTCAAATTTTGACGTTTCTAAATTTTCAGTTTTCCGATTTCTGAGGTAATCTTTTTTTTATTTTTCCATTTCTTCCCAAAGTTTCGATTTTTCACTTCTTCAATTCTTCAATTTTTCAATTTCTCAGGATTTTGATTTTTCAATTTTTCGACTTTATAAGCTCACGATTTTTCGACTTCTGGATTTCCCGATTTTCAGTTTTTCGTTTTTTAAACTTTGGATTTTTCAATTTTCGGCTGTTTTGTATTTCGATTTCTCAATTTTTCAACTTTTCGATATTTTAGTTTTTCGATTTTTAAAATTCTATATTTTTGATTTCTTGAGTTTCGGTTCTTCTATATTTCAATTTTTCAATTTTCGGGATTTTTACAATTTCCGATTTTCCATCTTTTTTTAACTTTTCGATTTTCCAATTTTTCGATCTTTCGATTTTTCAATGATCCGATTTTTCAATTTCTCGATTTTTAAATTTTAGATTTTCTAATTTTTATTTTTTTGATTTATTATTGCTAAAAGTAAAAGTTAAAAATAACTACAAAAATTGTGACTAAAAATATGCAAAAATTAATAAAAAAGAGAACACAATGCTGCTAAAACATAAAAATAACTGTACTTTCCAAAAAAAATCTATTGAATGTTTACGGTACCACTAGTATTGCTAATTTAGGACGTTTTGTTAGTATCAAACACAATTAAAGAATTAATTCGTAGCTAAACAAAAAAGTTGCATGTCAAAATCGAATGAAATATTACAGAATTTAAATACTGCATAATTCAACGAGACGATAAATTTTGGGCATATAATTTTTGAATTTTTCAAATTTTGACGTTTCTAAATTTTCACTTTTCCGATTTCTGAAGTAATCTTTTTTTTATTTTTCCATTTCTTCCCAAAGTTTCGATTTTTCACTTCTTCAATTGTTCAATTTTTCAATTTCTCAGGATTTTGATTTTTCAGTTTATCGACTTTATAAGCTTACGATTTTCGAATTGTGGATTTCCCGATTTTCAGTTTTTCGTTTTTTAAACTTTGGATTTCTCAATTTTCGGCTGTTTTGTATTTCGATTTGTCAAATTTTCAACTTTTCGATATTTTAGTTTTTCGATTTTTAAAATTCTAGATTTTTGATTTCCCGAGTTTCGGTTCTTCTATATTTCAATTTTTCAATTTTCGGGATTTTTACAATTTTCGATTTTCCATTTTTTTTTAACTTTTCGATTTTCCAGTTTTTCAATGTTTCGATTTTTCAATGATCCGATTTTTCAATTTCTCGATTTTTAAATTTTAGATTTTCCAATTTTTATTTTATTGATTTATTAATGCTAAAAGTGAAAGTAAAAAATAACTGCCAAAATTGTGACTAAAAATATGCAAAAATTAATAAAAAAGAGAACACAATGCTGCTAAAACATAAAAATAATTGTACTTTCCAAAAAAAAAAATCTATTGCATTATTACGGTTTCACTAGTATTGCTAATTTAGGACGTTTTGTTAGTATCAAACACAATTAAAGAATTAATTCGTATTTAAACAAAAAAGTTGCATGTCAAAATCGAATGAAACATTACAGAATTTAAATACTGCATAATTCAACGAGACGATAAATTTTGGGCATATAATTTTTGAATTTTTCAAATTTTGACGTTTCTAAATTTTCAGTTTTCCGATTTCTGAAGTAATCTTTTTTTTATTTTTCCATTTCTTCCCAAAGTTTCGATTTTTCACTTCTTCAATTCCTCAATTTTTCAATTTCTCAGGATTTTGATTTTTCAATTTTTCGACTTTATAAGCTTACGAGTTTTCGACTTCGGGATTTCCCGATTTTCAGTTTTTCGTTTTTTAAACTTTGGATTTTTCAATTTTCGGCTGTTTTATATTTCGGTTTCTCAATTTTTAAACTTTTCGATATTTTGATTTTTCAATTTTTAAAATTCTAGATTTTTGATTTCCCGAGTTTCGGTTCTTCTATATTTCAATGTTTCAATTTTCGGGGTTTTTACAATTTTCGATTTTCCATTTTTTTTTTAACTTTTCGATTTTCCAGTTTTTCGATGTTTCGATTTTTCAATTTCTCGATTTTTAAATTTTAGATTTTCCAATTTTTATTTTTTTGATTTTATTATTGCTAAAAGTGAAAGTAAAAAATAACAACCAAAATTGTGACTAAAAACATACAAAAACTAATAAAAAAGAGAACAAAATGCTGCTAAAACACAAAAATAATTGTACTTTCCAAAAAAAAAATCTATTGCATGATTACGGTTCCACTAGTATTGCTAATTTAGGACATTTCGTTAGTATCAAAATCAATTAAAGAATTAATTCGTAGTTAAACAAAAAAGTTGCACGTCAAAATCGAATGAAACATTACAGAATTCAAATAATGCATAATACAACGAGACGATAAATTTTGGGCATATAATTTTTGAATTTTTCAAATTTTGACGTTTCTAAATTTTCAGTTTTCCGATTTCTGAAGTAATCTTTTTTTTATTTTTCCATTTCTTCCCAAAGTTTCGATTTCTCACTTCTTCAATTCTTCAATTTTTCAATTTCTCAGGATTTTGATTTTTCAATTTTTCGACTTTTTAAGGTTAGGATTTTTCGACTTCTGGATTTCCCGATTTTCAGTTTTTCGTCTATTAAACTTGGGAATTTTCAATTTTCGGCTGTTTTGTATTTCGATTTCTCAATTTTTCAACTTTTCGATATTTTAATTTATTAATTTTTAAAATTCTAGATTTTTGATTTCCCGAGTTTTCGGTTCTTCTATATTTCAATTTTTCAATTTCTCGATTTTTAAATTTTAGATTTTCCAATTTTTATTTTTTTGATTTATTATTGCTAAAAGTGAAAGTAAAAAATAACTACCAAAATTGTGACTAAAAGTATTCAAAAATTAATAGAAAATAGAACACAATGCTGCTAAAACATAAAAATAACTCTACTTTCCAAAAAAAAATCTATTGCATGATTACGGTTCCACTAGAATTGCTAATTTAGGACGTTTTGTTAGTATCAAACACAATTAAAGAATTAATTCGTAGTTAAACCAAAAAGTTGCATGTCAAAATCGAATGAAACGTTATAGAATTTAAATGCTGCATAATTCAACGAGACGATAAATTTTGGGCATATAATTTTTGAATTTTTCAAATTTTGACGTTTCTAAATTTTCAGTTTTCCGATTTCTGAAGTAATCTTTTTTTTTATTTTTCCATTTCTTCCCAAAGTTTCGATTTTTCACTTCTTCAATTCTTCAATTTTTCAGTGTCTCAGGATTTTGATGTTTCAATTTTTCGACCTTATAAGCTCACGATTTTTCGACTTCTGGATTTCCCGATTTTCAGTTTTTCGTTTTTTAAACTTTGGATTTTTCAATTTTCGGTTGTTTTGTAATTCGATTTCTCAATTTTTCAATTTTTCGATATTTTAATTTTTCAATTTTGAAATTCTAGATTTTTGGTTTCCAGAGTTTTCGGTTCTTCTAATTTTTCAATTTTCGGAATTTTTACAATTTTTGATTTTCCATCTTTTTTTTTAACTTTTCGATTTTCCACTTTTTCGATGTTTCGATTTTTCAATGATCCGATTTTTCAATTTCTCGATTTTT